CAGTTGGTAAAAAACATTAAATCGGGAAATCCTCATCTGCCGGCTGTCAACCAACAAACGCCTCTCTACTATTCTACGCTACACAATCCATATCCTCCAGCGCACCCTCGACCTCAGCAACATTTTGTACCTGGGACACAAGACAACAGTCAAGCTACGGCTTTTAATAATACACAGACACAGTCCAATATGTTAACTGCAGCAACAACACATTACCAAGAAGAGTATACTCGTCAAACATCAACACCTCTTTCAACAGAAGCAGGGACACCCTCCTCACTTTCTTCATTCTTGTCAGATATGGATTTTTAATACAGTTGTTGTTATTAACTCAATAATAAAGCTTATTTTTTAGTAATAATTAATTAAACTTCCCAACTTACCTTAATGTTACTGCCAACATTTCTATAGGTGGAATACAATTTCTTAAGTGGGTATTTTCTTTCTGGATATGAGGTTGTAGGTACTTTAGTAGTTCATCAAAAGTAGAAATAGACATTCGAAAGTAATTGAAAAATTTCACATTATCTTCCCTTAGCTGGGAAAATAGTGTCTGAAATGTACCAACAATATACCGTTGTGCAACTATTGGATGAACCCAAACAGTTCTCAATTTTTTTGTTTTGCGACGATGTCTTAATAAAGAAATAATAATCATTTTCTTACGTCTGTCCATAATGAAAGAACACTGAATACTGCACTGATACTGAAAATGATGTGAGGTCTCCGGATCGAGAGAAATCGGATAAACAGGTATGCGCTGTGTAAAATTCATACGAAAAACACTCGGACCGTTAAAGACCCGGGTCGGGTGTTTTTCTTATAGTATGTAACGACACTTAATGTTAATTACATAGCACAATTTCGGGTTTCCGTTAGTAAAGTCCAAAATTATCTGTTAACTAAACTTGAAAACTTAAACCTAAAACTGTTAACTTGTAAACTTAAAAAGTACTGATTCATTTTAATAACTTTATAAGATAAATTTTGTTTAGATTTGCCCCCACTATCGATTTCTGTGGTTATTTTTAATAAAATAATTTCCACCCCAGAAAAGGGGTGGCATCCACCCCAGGATAAAAGCGCAAGTTGACACCATGTCACTTTTGTTTCTTAAAGTATTCTCTAATACTCACAAATGTTAATGAAAATCGATGGAGGCTCAACGAAATCGGAGTGAAAACCTTAAGTGACTTTTTATTAATTAATAATTAAAAGCTAGTGTTAACTTAATGTTCTTTTATTTTTATTTTTAATATGTTTGATTTATTATTTCTTTAAATTTTTGGCTGCATAAGAATCAATAATATCTACTCCTAAATAATTCCATTTTTTTGTTTTGTTTTTGAAAATTACCTTTAAAATGATGTCGTTACCTATTTTAAGAAAATGTTTGGTATAATTATAAAATAGGCGTTGAATTTCCAGGAAGTAAAATTAGAGTTATACCGATAAAATCTTGAAAAGTATTTACGAAAACTACACGTTTTTCAGAGTGATTTGTGCGAACGAAATCCGAAACAACGACGATAATGATCACTTAATTTCCATTTCCAAACACCAAACCATAAATTTTAATTTAACGTAGCCTAAAAACCAAAGTGTTGTAGGTAGTATTTTAAGAAACAGTAAGTTACATTAAAATTCCGGTATACAAAGTATGTGAAATTGCTAATATGAGACAGAAGTAATTAACTTTTTAAAATGTATTACATTTGAATATGTATTTTATAATTGAGGAGGTGTCAATCAAAATCAATCATGTCCACCTTAAGAAGTTTTAGGGAAATCGCAAAAAACGTATTAGTAAATAACCTTACATGAAAATCGGATAAATTAGCATATATCATTTTATTTATTGAAATTAACTGACCCTTAGTAAATATTTCAAATCTGAAGGTATAAATAAACCTGTAAATACATTTGAAAAAAAGGACATGTTCTTATTTGATTGGACTTCATGGACGTTGATAGAAGGGGTTGATAAAAAAACTCTTAGACTACTTAAAATATCTATTGTATTGTTACAAAAAATATCTTGAAAAATGGCTAACATTTACTAACGACACTTTCCACAAAATATAAATGTTTAAATGTGTAGTCCAATGTCAGGTTCTAGACAATCACAGGATTCGTCCACTTCGTCAGCATCAATTTCGTCGTCCTGGACTTCCACTATTATGGTCTTATACCAAGATAAAAAGTCATGTTTCTGCCAGTCATCACCATACATTTTCACAAGTAACGTCTCCACGTCCTTCTTCTTAGCTGCTTTCACTATATTGCTCAGTGGAAGTAACTCTACAGGAGTTGAGAACGACCTGGCAGAATGCCAGCCTTTTTTTGAGGCTTGTTGTAGGTTTCAAAATCACTTTCAAACCTAAAATTCTGTGCCGATTTCACTTTGATAACAGTAAGTTCTTGTCCATTGCGGTTGACAGCTTTCTCTTTCCTCACAAAAATCCTCTTCTTTTCAGATATCATTTCAATGTTTTTAAATCGTGTAGCCAAACTTTTAGCATCAATCAATCCCCAATCCTCTCCAAGTTTCCGTACTTCTCCAACAGAACTATATACATTGTAGTACTCTTCCTTTGTTGCAATGGTAGGCTGCTTCCTGAGTAACTTTTCAACCCTTCCGAACACCCGATCAGCGGAGAGGAAGCTATGCCCGCGAACAGGGTATGTTAGAACAATCTCCTCTAAAGCATTTTGCACTGATCCTAAGTAATACACTAATGTGTGAACAACGGCATTGTTTTTGTTTTGACCGGCACACCCATCACAGAAGAGATTCAGTCTTGTTACATTTGAAAAATTAGCGGAGTTCAAGAAATTTATAAGTGCAGATGAAACTTCGGTCGCACCCCTTCCTGCAAGTTCTTCAGTCCATACGTAAAATATGGGGTTTTGTGCGTTTGATGCTACAATGCAAAAAGAGTAAAAACTTAATTGTCTTTTGCAGAACGCGTCTTGAATAGGAGTTTTGGAAGTGCTTGAATTTGCTGGAGATCAAAACAGAAAGTAACCTCATTTTCTTTGTTTTCCTTTAAGAGCCCATAAAAAGCATTAGCTCTTAATCTGTGTATTCTTTTCTCCATCATAAATTAATTGACCACTACCAAGTCTTTCACAGCTTTAGCCTTCTCAATTTTCAGCTGAAGATCTATTTTATTGCATGTACTGCAAACGTCAGAAGCTGGTGATGAAAATCCGATATTTAATTCATTGAAAACTCTCCTAAACATAGATTTCTTAACTTTAAGATTATCAAGTACAGAATCATTGTATATTAGCCACAACTTCTTAATGTTTAAGTCTGCACCAAGATAAATCCTTTTCGATTTTTTTCGATTATAGTAATTATAGTAGTAGTTATAGTACTGCAAACGTCAGAAGCTGGTGATGAAAATCCGATATTTAATTCATTGAAAACTCTCCTAAACATAGATTTCTTAACTTTAAGATTATCAAGTACAGAATCATTGTATATTAGCCACAACTTCTTAATGTTTAAGTCTGCACCAAGATAAATCCTTTTCGATTTTTTTCGATTATAGTGGCTTTCTTTTCTTCTTAAATTTCTCAAAAAAAGGCGGACTGATTCCTTGTTCGCAGCAGATTTGTGACTCTTCCTATCGCCACCCCTCTGATCCTTAACAGCCTTTCCCTCTTTCACCTTTTTAGAAATATTAGTCAATCTTGTTCCCTTCACCATGGTAATATGCATAAAAAGTTTCCTACACACAGGTATAACTTTACCGGTTGATGAAAGTATAGAATATTGTACACTAAAACTTTTAGCCTTTGATTTTTCAGAGGTAGGCTTAGGCCTTCGCCGCTTTATGTTACGTTGATTTATCCAACTGGCAATGGTGTTATCTTGCGTGTGTTTGTTAGGTATTTTGTAGAGGATATTTCGAACAAAAATAGCATCTATAGGCTTAACTAATGCACATTTCATACCTTTGTTCATGTTTTTACATGGAACAAACACACGACATCCCACTGGAGTACTGTATCGCTTAAGCTTGGCTCTAGTTTTTTATCCACAGTCTTTTTATTTTTACGAGATCCTTCATGGGCATCGCCCACTCTCACTAAGTTTTCTTCATCCATGGAAAATTTCAAACTATAATAATATTAAAATTAAACCCACAGTGCAATACAAACTCAATACTCGCTATCAACATAACCTAGAGGAAAAACACAGACAATGTGTTGACATGGTCAAATCACGTGACATGATTTTTTTTAACCGAAACCGAAAACACCATAGAATAGGATTCACTCTATATTATGAAACAGCTGCTAACTCATTTTTTGATTTTTATTGACATGATTGATTTTGATTGACACCTCCTCAATTTTGACTTACAAGTCAAGGAAATTTGATTATTCTCATATTCTCATTCTGGAATGAGTATACTAGCAAGAATAATATAAGGGTATCAATTATTAAGCTTATAAGGTAATATTGGATGCACGTTTTGGAACTTGTTTCTTGGCATCTTTTATTTACTGCTCTAGGGTTTTTATTACCGCACTTTTTAATATCTTTAATATCTTTACTATCTTTAATATCTTTACTATCTTTTAATATCTGGTCTAGCTAATAGATAATCCATAAAAAGTTTATTTACGACATTTTCCATGCCTATAACTGTTGTTTCTTGTCTACAATTTGGGATCAAGTTTGTTGATCCTATCTACTGACCTTCCAAGTATTTTCTTCTAGGTATAAGTAAACTCTTTAGATTCTCTTTAGATTTCTCTTAGAGTTGCTTTAGAGTTTTTCCAGTATTTAGAAAGGTTATGACAATTTATCCGTGACAAAATTATGGAATGTAAAGGGAATTATAAATAAAAATGCGAAATAATGTTAAGTAAACCCAGGCCCGACCAGTGGGGGGGGGGGGGGTTCATAATTAGGTCATTATGACCCTCTTTTATCGAAGCATCTAGATCAGGTTAAGCAATTTCGAGAATCGAATAAGAGAATGCAAGTGCATTATTTGTCTTGGAGAACTCAAAACGAGTTCATAGCAAGTTGTGCTGATTATGTAAGGAAAGTTATTGTGGACGAACTCAAGCGATCTAAATACTATTCTATTATGGTTGACTCTACACCAGACTCAAGCCATGTAGAACAGACCTCTTTTGTATTTAGATATATTATTTTCAAAGAAGACGCAAAAGAATATGAAATCTATGAACGATTTTTGGAGTTTTCCGACTGCAATGAAAAAACTGGAGAAGACATCCCAAATCTAATCAAAGAAGTTCTTAAAAAATATGACGTATCCTTAGATGACTGTAGAGGACAGGGATTCGATAACGGCAGTAATGTGAGTGGCAAGTATAAGGGTCATATTTTAAAATCAAACCCTCTGGCTGTGTACTCACTATGTGGATGCCACAGTTTGAGCTTATGTGGAGTATGCGCTGCTGAGAGTTGTTGAAGCATATACTTTCTTTGGTGTTGTTCAGAATCTGTACAATTTATTCATTTGCAGCTCGAAAAGATGGGAGCTTCTGAAAGAGATAATAGGATCTTCACTGCACTCATTGTCTGATACGAGGTAGAGTGCTAGAGTAGAATGTGTGAAACCAATAGCGGCACACATTTAGGCAAAATCATTGAGGCAGTTTCAACATTGTTGAATCTTAACGTAACTGTTGAAACGAGAGCCACAATCAATGGGGTTTTAGAATATCTTAACACCTTCAAGTGCATCCTCATGGCGTCAATTTGGGTGAAAGTTTTGGTACCCATCAACTATAGAAGTCAACTACTTCAAACTATGGACGCTACTTTAGATGTTGAGAGTAGTAATATAGAGAGCCTAATTGATGATTTAAGTGCCTTAAGAAATAATTGGGACAAGATATTGTCTGAATGCAAACATGTTGAAAATGCTTATGGTATCGAACCGGAACTCTCCACTTCCTGTGCGAGAAAGAGGAAGACTTTTCACGATGAAACAGCTACAAAAGATGTAATGTTAAATTTATCCCCGGAAGAACGCTTGAAAACAAAAGTTTTTTACACAATAATTGATGTTTTTGTGGCCAACCTGAAAACGAGATTCACAGCACTGAGAGAAATCGAAATGAAATTTTCATTTTTTTGGACGTATAACGAAATGGACGAGAATACGATCTCAGAAAGTTGTGTAAGATGATGAAATGATTTACTTGAAAACTGTTAGTAAATCAACCATCTCAGATACGTCGCTGAAACCAGCAAAACTTTTGAACAAGCTCGTGTCCCTAATGTGACAAATCTTTTTCCCAATGTGTGCATTGCTCTTCGCATATTCTGTTGCCTTAAAGTATCCGTTGCTCAGGCCGAGAGATCATTTAGTGTTTTGAGCCAAATTAAGAATTGTTTAAGATCTACTATGGGTCAACAACGATTATCTGATTTGGGACTGTTAAGCAGAGAGTCGAAACTTGGAAAAACTCTTGATTTCGACCATGTGATCCAAAACTTTGCGGATATGAAAGCAAGAAAAGTTATGTTGTAACTAACAGTTCTATTATAAATAATTAAAAACAAAGTTTAATTGTTAAAACTGTTTTCCGGGTCTCATCCTTCGGGGCCTGGCCTGGGTCTGGGCGGGCCTGAGTAAACCATGAGCTTCGATGCAAATAAAGGATTCAAACAGGAATGCCAGAAAAAATGTCTGAGAATTGGTATACTAATAAATAATACAGAAGTAATATCACTTAAGAACGTAAGAAATAAGTGTAAACATTTCTCGCTAGAAATATTTTTCAAATTTACCTTAATCTACACAGAAAATAAACCTGACCATGCTTATTTATCTAAAGTGTTGCTTTTATGACATTCACTTCCTTAATAAAAAGTTAAAAGGTAAATCACAGATGTTCAAATTCGTTTCGACTATCCTATAAATCACATTTCAACAACAAGAAATTATTATAGGAAGCAAAAAGAATCAGTATACCTAAGGTCCAAACTTGTATCCCGCTTCTTTCTCTCTCACAATCAGCAACAACCTGAACTAATAAGAAAAACACGTTGGTGAGTACAACGTAACATCTTGTGGAGAACAAAGTGTATAATAGGAAAGATCCTACAATTATTGCATAGCACGTGTACGCCAAATGTTGTGTATAGCCAAAAACACAATACAAAAACTACGCAGACAGGGGTGTAGTGTATGTACTAAAGTAACGTTCCAGGGGCGTACAATTAAACTAATAAAGTTCAGAATAAAATGAACAAAAGTAATGAAAAAATGTCATAAATTATATGAAATATATATTTCAACAAGCAGGTATAACAATCATTATATAGGAAAATTCTTTTACCGACACATTCTCTTTTTCCTCTTCCTACCACTTACAAGAAATGAGCGAGGTGATCGATTAATACAGTTTTGCCAAGAGAAAAACTTAATTATCTTTAATACTTGGTTTAAGTTACCATTAAGAAGATTGTACACTTGGAGGTCACCACAGGACAGGACTGGGTACATCGTTACAAATCAGATAGACTTCATAACAATTAATAAACGATGTCGTAACGCAATAATATCAGCCAAAACATATCCTGGAGCTGATATAAACACTGATCATAATCCTCTTGTAGCACAATTACGAGTCAAACTAAAAACCTTAATCCAGAAACAAAATAATAAAAGATTAGATATGGATCAATCAATACTGACGATATTGAAAGAGACTGGATCAACTTAAGGGACGCTATATGCAACGGTGCGAAAGTAATTGGTGATTACAAGCGGAAGAAGAAGAACGAATGGATGACAGATGAAATATTACACACTATGGACAGAAGGAGGGAAAATAAGAATAATCCCGAACAATAAAAATAACTGGATAGAACTGTCAGCAGAAATAATCCAAAGAGAAATGATTACAACAAAAATGTCAAGAGATAGAAGAGCTAGAATGAAAGCACGATAGTTTTAACATGCATAAAAAAATCAAAGAGTTTACTTATACTTACAAGCAAAAACAGTTTCGTAGGTTAATAGACGATAACAACAAACTTATTGTAGGTAAAGAAGAACAGTTACAGACTTGGGCAAATTACATAAAAGATTTATTTACGGATTATCGTCATATTTCTACGAACACTCTTGATCTGAATGGACCAAAAATATTGAAAAGTGAGGTGATAAAAGCTATAGATCAAACGAAAGATGAGAAAGCAACAGGATGCGATGAAATACCAGTCGAATTTTTAAAAGTTTTTAACGAGAACAACATAAAAGTAGTATTGGAAATGTTTAATAAGATATACGATACTGGTCAAATTAATTAAATATAGATTTAATGAGTCACACCTTTAAAGTATTCTTTCGTATTATCCATTCCAGAATAAAAGCAAAATTAGAACACAAGTAAAATGTGGTTTTGGAACTCGAGAGCCCCTCTTTGCAATACAAGTCTTGATTCAAAAATGTCTTGATCAACAGAAAAATAGTTACGCCTGTTTTATCGACTATGAGAAAGCATTCGATTCTATCAAACATGACAAACTCATAGAACTATCACATCTTACAGGACTTGACAATAAGGACATCCAGATTATAAAAAATCTATATTGGAATCAAACAGCCCACATAAAGAATGGACATATGGTGAGTGAAAACGTAACCATTTCGAGAGGAGTTAGACAGGGCTGTATTCTTTCTCCACTGCTTTTTAACCTGTACAAATATTTTTAGAGGCACTGGAAGAGTACAACGAGGTCATCAAGATTAATGGCGTACCAATAAGTAATTTTCAATATGCAGATGATACTCTTATACTGGCCGATAACATCGAAGATTTACAGATGATGCTAAATACTCCGATTTAAATATCTGGGATATACAGTAAATGATAAGTGGGACCCAGACGTAGAGATCAAGATCCAAATTAAAATAGCAAGATCCAAATTCATCAAAATGAGAAAGCTCTTAAGCAACCGCAACCTAATTTCCGATGGCGCGCCACGAAATGCTACGTAATCTCTACGCTACTTTACGAAGTAGAAGGGTGGACGTTAACAGCAGCAACTATAAAGAAGTTAGCGGCTCTAAAAATGTGGCTGTATCGACGTAAACTGAGAATACCTTGGACAGACAGAGTGACCAACACAGAGGTATTAAGAAGAATGGGTAAAGAGCTGGAATTGTTAACAACTGTTAAAAGGAGGAAAGCGTCATAGATAGGCTATGTGTTCCGTAATGATAAGTACAGTCTCCTACAGCTTATCGTGGAAGGCAATATTGAAGGTAGAAGAGGTTTGGACAGAAAGAAGAACTCCTGGCTGAGAAACTGCGAACATAATACCTGCGACACAAAACAGAGAAACCTATCGTTTGATGGTCGCCAACCTTCGGTAAAGGACGGCACATAAAGAAGAAGAATTATTGTTGATGTGTTTTAATTTAGAAACTCTTAAAATTAAAGAACATTTATTATCTAGAACTCTTTTTTCATTTTTCTTTAGAAAAATGACAAAAAATATTTTTTTACTTATATATATATATATATATATATATATATATATATATATATATATATTTATATATATATATATATATATATATATATATATATATATATATATATATATATATTCGGTTTTATAACGTCTTACGACGTTGTCTGACTCCCAAACGCCACTGTATTCTGTCTTGAGTTAGGTCTTCGTCCAGATTTCGAGCGCTAATCGCTTTCCTAACTCCCAGTTTCCAGCTCTGTGGTGGTCATCCTCGTTTCCTCTTCTCTGGGGGTTGCCACATCATCGTTTTTTTAGGCAATCTTTCGTCCCCCATTCGGCTCACATGCCCATACCATATGAGCTGTTTTCTCTCAATATCCTCAACTATAGTGCCCTCTATACCCATTTGTTGTTTTATCACTTCATTCCGTATTCTGTCGGTTCTTGATATTCTCATCGATCTTCTGTTGGCATCCATTTCCGTGGCTTCGACCTTTTTCTTGTATTTCTCGGTTTTTTACTTTTTAAGATATTTAAAAAACAAAGCAAAATCACAGATCTTTTAGCTACCCCTCATACACCTTTTGGAATAAAATGTTTACGCGAAATCAATGATTTTTTCACAGATAGACTCTTATACTGGGAATAACAATCTAAGTTACACATGTATGGTAAAGTTTAGTAACAATGATTAAATTAAGTATTGTGACCTTCTGATTAATAAAATTAATGCAGTGGTCAATCTAGATAAACATTTTTTTAATAAATCTTACATAAAAATTTTCATCTTTTTGAAACAAATAACTTTTAAGAACAGTACTTGTTAGTATACTTATTGAAGATAATTATATGTAAAGAAAACTGATAAAAGTGACTCAGATTTCCGAAAAAAATGTAATTCCTGATAGCCTTTTAGCAAATAGGTTAGCTTAGTTTTTTAAAATAAACCTTCCGTATCAGTTGCTAATTGAAATA